TGCTCCTGCTGTGTGATCAGAAACAGGGGTGAGGTTGTGCTACTGAACCCCCTTTGAATCCATCCCTGGTGCTGAACATATTATCTGCACCATTCCCCTCCCCCCTCCCATCGGACAATTCTGCTGTTCAGGCGGTTTTATCTTGGATTATAAAGTTGTTTGTCTGTGACTTCAATGCTTTGGAGCAAGCTTCAGTTGAGGGTTTTTCAAGCTTTTGGCATGTAGTAATCCAAGCTGCTGCATCAGACACAGCTGGCCCTTCTGCATGCCTGAGTTTCAGACCATTATCATTGTACTAAATAAGATAGCTTTAGGCTATGATTGTTTTGAGAGATTGGCAGTGGTCAAGCAGAGATTGGAAGTTACTGTAATTAGCTTTAGGGGACTGTAGGACAAGTGACATGATGATGATGTTTTGTCTGATTTTAATGTCACATTATTTAACTCCTGCATGAGATTTACTGGGCAAGCTCTCTGTGTAAGATTTTTATTTTTTAGATTGGATTGAAAGGTAAAAATATCAAGCCCTAGACTCTGCTTCACTTTCATCAAATGGCCTAGAGGGTGACTGTGTCTCCAGCCACCAAATGTACCCCAGTTTTCTATTAAGTTTTCAAACTATACACTTATATCTGAGTAAATTTAGAGCCTGCATTTTCAGAATGGGCATATTTGTTTGTTTCCATCAGGTGGTTGCAGCAAGTGGGTTGTGGTGAGTTTTGGCCAATATTGACTTACCTTAAATGAAGACACGGAACTTTCAATCCAGAAATGAACGCCAAACCCACCTTTTTCTCTTTGAATGTATTGACACTTGTTTTTGTTGTACATATCTGACACATGAACCTGGTGGTTCTCAACCTCATTAGACTCCAGGCACCCACCTAGAAAATAACAGCTCTTAAGGCACCTGTACATGTGCAGCAAGGCTGCTCTAATGTGCAGGAATTAATCAAGTCTGCAGGAGCGTGCTAATTACTGTGCTTCAGCAAACTCCAGTGCCATGTTCATCAATGTCCCTGGCCTGAAAAATGGTGGCGGGGGCACTTTATATCTCATTTGATGAGTTTTAGTTAAAGTGCCCGCGCCACCATTTTCTAGCATGGCGATATGGATACACATGATGCTCTGGGGGTTTTAATTAGAGCAGCTCTTGGAGTTGCTGCAGTTAAAGCACCCCTGCCCCTCGACCATGTGTATAAACTCCCTTCGCTTTCACTCATTTTTCATTACTGATAAATGACACAATTCTTGTGTTGCAAACAACTTGGACTACAACAGGTCAGAATGTTTTTGACACTATATATCCCCGTTTGAAATTTCTCAGTTTTATCTTTTGAATCATATGTAGGCTTTTGCATACATCATAGTGCCAATAATGTGTGGCACCCTTATAAGGATCTCATGTCACTTGGCTGTGAATCACTCTATTGTCTAGTCTGTGGCTTCTACACCACTATTCTCTTGGAGGCATTTGTGGTCAATTTACTTCTGAACTTATTGTTGTAGTGATTTGGGATTTGAGGCCTCCTTTAACTCACTTAGCAGGTGTCCTCTCAGGTTGTTGGTTTTAGCAGTTAATTAGGCACAAAAAGTCTGCCTATAGGTGTGCTAGTTTGTATTCTAATTAGAATGTGTCCACATCTTGCTTTGTTCACTTCTGTTTAGGTATATTGTTTCTACTACAGAAAAATCTATATTTGGTTGTATAAGTCTAGCCCAGCAACTCTGACTCTTTCCAAAAAGTTGCTATTTTCTTATGAAACACACCTTGGGCACTGAACACAACTAAACGTCTGTCTACAGAAAGATTGTCTTTCGTGCAGGGAATTGACAATGCACAAATCCGTCTTTGTTCTTGCTAAGAACACTTGCCAGAACACTGTTGGCACTTCTACCATGGAATAGCATTTGGCTGTCTCTTCTTGTATGTTCTTTCCCACCTTCCTTGTAGGCAGTAAAGTGTTTTTGTTGCTTACTTGTTTAATGCATTTGCTTGCTTGTTTAATCCTTTGCGATTTACACGTAGGTAAAGGTTTCACTTTTTTTAAATAAAATGACTCCTGAACATACAAACTCTGTTGCTTCCTGTTCCATTTCTCAGAAGGCAGCATAGATTCATGCCTTTTAGCCTTTAAATCAGAGTGATATAGCATAAGCTTTTGTGAGACAGCTCACTTATACTGTGCAAGGACATAGCATGTGCTTTCATAGCACCTCTCCTATTTCTCAGAGCCACGAACATATCTAGTTGAAGATCCATTATCAACTTTTAGGTGCTTCCTTTCTGTTTTCTTATGATTGGGACATACTTTTTACGTTTAACTCTTATGTGGAGTGAGGACTTCTCAAAGTCCTATACTAGTTTCCTAATTTAGCTTCCCCTGTTTGAGTGAACTGAAAACCATTAATGGATCAGGCACTTCAGAGCCACCTGACTGCCTTCAGGATGTCTGTATTCAAATGGTACCAACTGCTTGAAAAGAGAGAGAAGCACTGTTTGAAATTCCTCTGTTGTCTTCAACATATCCAGAAAAATCAGCACTCATGGAATTTCTAACTGCTGCTTTCATTCAGGATATGTTGTTCTTAATTTCTTTTTTACTCCTAGTATCATGTGGTGTTTATTCAGTGACCTCTTGTGAATACCTTGAGCACTAAATGATCTGATTTGATTCTCAGCCACAGTCCAAGTGGCTGTGCATGGCTCCAAAGGCTTCAATGTATCCTGCATAGCTTTTTAATTTGGGAAGGTCAGTTGTTAGAAGTATAGGGCATTCATACACATACTTTTTTGCCCGTGATGTGCCGGAGATCTGTTGTTTCAAAGCAGACTCAATTAATTGAGCCTGCTCTGCATGCGAGCTGAGGTGAACTGTGTCGCACTGTGTGCAGTTGTATAAGCAGCGAAATGCGTGTCCGTGCACAGAAAATGGTAGCAGAGTGCTTTTGAACTAAAGCACCACTGAGGTGCTTTAGCTCAAAAGAGCATCACTGCCATTTTCTCAGCGCTGACGTGCAGTTTGCCACTTATGTAACTGGCAATGTCACAGCACTGGGCGCTTACATCTGTAAAAAGTGCCCGTAGTCTCCAAGCATGCTGCTCTGATTGCAGGATGGTAATCCTCTGTATTTTACATCATGTTTTTGTTCTTTGGAAAGTCTTTATGCAACATTTAATTATTTTTAAAGATTTCTAAGTTTTGGTATATAGATCCACTACTTTGATATTTATCAAGATATTTGGTATTCACTTGGAGTTTTGAATATTTTAAGGGCTTTTTTTGTAATACTATATGGTTCATCATATGTTGCTTTTCTCATGCATCTGGCATAAGCACATTTAAAACGGTATATCTGCTGAATGTGGTTACAGTGACTTGATGATGACTTCTGCAAATTGATCAAATTTCTCATGTGAATATGCAAGGAGGGGTCAACTAAGATCAGTAGACCTTGTGAATTGGGGTCAAAATATCGGTCAGGCTTGTTATCAGAAAGGCCTTTAGAATAAGAACATTGTGTCTTAGAACGGACTCCAAGGGAGAGGAGCCATCTCTAGTCAGGAAGATCAGGTCAAGAAGCACCTGGGTTTTCTACAAAGGGTTAGGTTGATCATAGTGCAAACTGGTATATGTTTGGGGAGTTTAGATCAGGCAACAAATGGCCAGCCTGATCTAACTTCTTTGGATCACTTTTCCAGCTTTTTTTTAAATACGGGGATACCATTTGGCACCCTCCAGCAGCTGATTTTAATAAAAAATTACATACTTACTTTAGCAACTTGTAAACTCCATCAGACCTCTTGATTACACCATTCTGACCTGGCAACATGTTGCTATTTAAATTACCAGCTTGTTTGAGAACCGTCTGTATGAAGTGTTTATTCTCAAATGTATGAAGAGTTTTACCCACTTCTTTTTTTTTTTTAGTTTTACTTCCTATAAGTATTTAAGGGGTGTACATCAAGATCTGGGGGAATGCTTGTTCACCAGAGTGCCCCAAGGGAATACAAGGTTCAATGGTCACAAACTCCTTCAAGACAGTTTCAGGCTGGACATAAGGAAGAATTTCTTTACTGTCCAAGCCCCCATGGCCTGGAATAGACTCCCTCCAGAAGTGGTGCAAGCACCTACTCTGGACTCCTTTAAGAGTCGATTGGCTGGGATCCTTTGACCCCCACTGACTTCCTGTCCCTGGGGCGGGGGGCTGGACTCAATGATCTCCCGAGATCCCTTCCAGCCCTAATGTCTATGAAATCTATTAACTTAATTTGTCTAAGGAGGTGTGCTACACAGATCGGGCTTACCCATGCCTGATCTAACTGAATGTGTGTATGTGTTCGTAGTACAGCCCTGGGGCTGGGAAAGCTCAGCCACTCACTCAAGTCCCCAGGCGGCAGTTTTTCTACCCTCACACCCTGACAGGTTATTTTGAGCCCTCCAACCCCCCTCACCTCCCAACGGACAACATAGACCTGCCAGCCCCCCCAAATACTGCCCATCCCTCCCCACTCCTACTAAAATTGCTGTAGGGACTAACTGTAAGCAGGAGCAGAGCCAGGGCTGAGAAAATGCTGTTTCAGTGTGTCACTGGGGAAGGATGTATCCTATCACTGAGGAAGGGAGAGTAGTCCTAAAATACTACCATGTTGCACTGAAAAATTAACAAAGTCAGGAAATGGAGGACTTGGACAAAACAATAAGAGGAGAGAAACTGAGAGACATGCGTATTATTTTCACAAACATTTGGGGTAAATAAGGTATGTCCTACTATGAAAAGAAATAGCTTTGCAATCTGATAGAAAAAGTAAATCCCCTTTTTATTGTATATTCATTCTGATTTAGCATTTTCTTTTCTGGTTTTTTTTTTTTTTTTTTTACTTTTTTTTTTTTTGTTTTTTTTTTTTTTTTTTTACTTTTTTTTTTTTTGTTTTTTTTTTTTTTTTTTTACTTTTTTTTTTTTTGTTTTTTTTTTTTTTTTTTTCTTCTCTTCCCTAGGGCCTATAGATCTGCACTGGAATATACCAAAAGAAGCCTAGGAATATTTATAGATCTTCAGAAGAAAGAGAAAGAGGCCTATGCCTGGCTTCAAGCAGGAAAGATATATTACATTCTGAGACAGAATGAACTAGTGGATCTCTATATCCAGGTAAGTTATATTACCCAGATCAGTGGACCTAAGGCACCCCTCCATAACCTGTGAATTGAGTAGCACCCAATTTAAAAAACTAATTTTTATATTGCAGTACTTACCTCCTTGCAGTGGGGGTGGGAGATCATTCAGACGGGGACAAGCCTGAAGCTGCATTTGTCTACATAGCTTATCTGCTTATCTCCTCACACCTTATATCACCTGTCAAAGAATATGGCAGCATCCTGGCTGAGGATCCCTGGTCTAGATTTTGGAATAAGTCTACCTGTATGGTAAGGTCGTGATTGGGATATACAGGAAGGGATGACTCTGTGTGGCATGGCAAAAGAGAAATCCTCTAATATCATGAGCCAAAAGAGAAGCTTTGTGAGGTGATGCTTTGAATAAATTATAGTGCTGTTATTGGTGCTGCATTATTAAAGGCCTGTCAACTTTTGAATGCAACCTTCTGTTTTAGTGGTTTGATGTTTTGCTTCTGAAACATTATCTTGGGGAATGAATCTCTCTTCCTTTTTACTCTCAAGGGTCTTTTGAAACTCCAATTAACAGCTCTTCCAATAGCCCTTTTTCTTTCCTCCACTGCTATTACGCTATAGTAGTTGTACCCAGAGGCCCCACTCTGTGATTCAGTCACCATTTTGCCAGGTGCTTTATCAGCACATAGGAGATGTCTGCCTAAAAGACCTGGAAGGGAATTCAGAGGGTGCAGTTCATTTTCTAGCCCACCATTGATTGGCTATGTGGCCTTGGGAAATTGCTTCATCTCTGCGCCCTTGTTCTCTAATGCTAAGTAGAGGCAGTCAAAAAGCCCAAGGCTGAATGGATTCAATCTTTGCAGGTTAGTTTTCGCTAGATAGATTAAACTGGTAAGCAAGCAAACAGATTTTTGATTCTGGAAATGCCTCGCATACCTGCAGTGGCCCAGGCCAGAAGCCCCAGGGATGTGCTAGAGTATACTTCCCTGCTCAGTTGGGGGAGACGGCACAGACCAAGGCTAGCCTGCCTACCCTGCAAGTGGGGCAGGGGGGAGGTTGCTGGGGAGGTCCAAAGTAGGGCTGTGTGAAATTTCTCCCAGTATTTCATTTTGAAGCTGTTTAGATGCATTTTGAGCTCAAAACAGCAAAATCAAAACAAAACAAAAGCTTTTGAAACAGCTTTGAACCGAAACAAGGGCACTCGAAACATTTCGAAACCAGGCTTACTTGGCTTCAGCGCCAGACCCAGGGAGCAGCACCAGCCTCCTGTCATCTGGCAGGCAGATTGGGCGCTTGCCTGCACCCCCAGAAGGGCTGTGGGGCTGTGCTGGACTGCTCCCGGGGCTGCGGGCCCCTGATCTGCCTGCCAGATCACAGGAGGCTGGTGCTGCTGGCTGGGGCCAGCAGCAGCACCGATCTTCCTGGTGCTGGCTATGGAATGGCCTATGGGCGAAATGTTGAAACAGCATTGAAACAACTAAAGATTTAACTTGAATCTGGAGGGGATCTGGGACAGAAGTTCAATAAACCTATTTAGCCTAAATCAGTTAAGTCTGATACTACAGTAAAAGCTCTGTTATCCGGCATCCCCTGGGAATGGGGGATGCCGGATAACAAAATATACCAATTGAGCGGCTCCGGCCACCGCTTCTCCTGCTGCATCTGAGGCATTCCTCCGCCCCTCCTGTGGCATCGCCATCCCTCCTGCCGCATCGCTGCCTGTCCTACAGGCCCTGGGGGACAGGGAGGCGGGCCCTGCACTGTTATACCTCCAGGCCGTGGGGGCTCAGCAGCGCAAGCTGCTTTGGCCCTGGCTGTGGGGACTTGGAGAAACCGGAAGTACCACAGTGAGCGCTTCCAGTTTTGCTTTATCTTACAAGCTGGCATGCCCATTAGTTGAGCGTGCCGGCTTGTAAGATGCTGGATAGCTCAGCTTTTACTGTATATCCATCCTGGTTTATCTTAAACCATTTTCAGCCATTTTGAAATTGATTTATGCCCACTGAACTTCTGTTGTGATATAGATTTTAACAGGTTTCACTCAGACCAGTGTATGTGTAATTTCTGTCCCTAGCCTAGGTGTTGCTACTTTATATAATAGTTCATCAAAACAGGGTTGGAATTCAGGTTCCTTGTAATACTAATGCAGTAGGCCTACTTAATTTACTTCATGTGTCATTGTGTGGTGGGTGGGAGAGAGGAGGGGTTCGTCTGTTAGTTGCAAATTTATAACAATTACCGAGTATCTTGGCAGTGTCCATTTATACTGCATGGTGTGCACTTTCCTTTATTGAGTTTTTTTTTACCGCTGCAATTCTTTGTTGTGTCTGAAATAACAAATGTTTATTCTACGGTGCAACTCCTTTAGCATACTACTAATTTACTTAACATTTTGTGCATAGTTCTAAACCTTGCATATAAATCCTCATTACTTGGAACACCTCATTTTTCAGCTATCAAATATTGGTTGTTAAAGTGCATATTTTATCTTTAGAGAATAAAGAATGTATTCTGGTGAACAGCCCTGCAGTGGCAGAGAAACAAAGGCAGGAGGGAAAAAAAATCTTCTTATCTCTAATGTTTGATTCTGTGCAGCTGGTACAAAAACCCTTCCACAGAAGCGTGATGCTTCATTGCTGAATCACAAAATATTTTCTAACAAAACATACATTTTGCATTTTAGGTTGCTCAAGATGCTGCTCTTTATACTGGGGATCCAAACTTAGGAATGGAGTTATTCGAAGCTGCAGGCGACATATTTTTCAATGGTGCCTGGGAGAAGGAAAAAGCAGTGTCTTTCTACAGGGTTTGTGGTCTGCTGTTTATTTCTATTTTGGTAGCACTTGGGGAGCTACAGTCCTGGCTTCTTTGTGCTAGGTACAAAGCACAGAACAAAAACCACTCTCTCCTCCAAAGAATATCTGTTTTACATGCTATGCCATAAACATTGATGGATTTGGCTCAAAGTAACAGTTGACCTGGCTGAGATCAGGTTATTTGATTCCATGCTCATAAAGCAAAGTAAATAATTTACTAAATATGAGAAATTAACTGCTAATCGGTATGTTTTCTGTGCTTCAGCAATAACCAAATGAATCGTATTTGCTTGTTTCAGGACAGAGCTCTTCCACTTGCTGTAAAGATCGGAAACAAAAAGGCCGAACTTCGATTGTGCAACAAACTAGTGGAACTGCTGTTGAGGCTAAAGGCTTATGAGGAAGGCCTGGAGTATGCAAAAGTATCTCTCTCACTCAGTGTGAATTTAGGTAAATCAGTGTTTACATAAAGTTAGTGACTGATTTCTACTATAAGTGATAGAATTTGGGGAAGGATTTATCACTTTTTTTTTTTTGAATTCAGTAGTGTGTGTTGTCAAGGATTTGTGTATTAGGAAGTTGGTACTAGTTTCATTGCTGTTTTTAATTCTGTTGTAGCAGGGAGATAAGCCAGTTCCTAAACTTCTTTCAGTTTCTTTGCCTCCTGACTTCTTCCAGTCTAATAATATTTTTACCCTCTATATTTCCTATATTTGCTAACCCAAATGAGATATAAGTAGGTTTTTGATGTTGTTAGGAGGAAATATTCAAGGGGAGGCCATCTGAAACCTGGATTGCCAGTATTAATCTCTCAAGGTCTCATTTAGGAAGTGAGGAATGGAGGCTTGATCTGAGGTAATGTATTTTCATGCTGGTTTCATAGTTTGTAGGGTCGGAAGGGACCTGAGCAGATCATCAAGTCTGACCCCCTGCCATGGCAGGAAAGAGTACTGGGGTCAAACGACCCCAGCAAGGTGATTGTCTAGCCTCCCCTTAAAGACCCCCAGGGTACGAGCCAGCACCACTTCTCTTGGAAGTTGGTTCCAGATCCTAGCCGCCCGGACAGAGAAGTAGCGCCTCCTGATGTCTAATCTGAGTTTACCCTCTGCCAGCTTGTGACCGTTATTCCTAGTCACTCCTGGTAGTGCTCAGGGGAACAGGGACTCCCCCAATGCCTGCTGGTCCCCCCTGACTTGTTTGTAACAGGCCACTAGACCCTCCCTCAGCCTTCTATTGTGGAGGCTGAACAGGTTCAGGTCCCAGAGTCTCTCCTTGTAGGACCTGCCTTGCTGACCCCTGATCATGCGAGTGGCCCTCGTCTGGACCCTCTCCATGTTGTCCACATCCCTCCTGAAGTGCGGTGCCCAGAACTGGATGCGGTACTCCAGCTGCGGCCTGACCAGTGCCGCATAGAGGGGGAGGATCACCTCCTTGGACCTGGCTGAGATGCATCTATGGATGCATGACAAGGTACGGTTGGCCTTACTGACTGCATCCCCACACTGCTGGCCCATGTTCATCTTGGCATCAGTGATGACTCCAAGATCCTTTTCTGCCTCTGCGTTGCCTAGAAGGGAGTTCCTCAGCCTGTAGGTATGGTGCTGATTGTTCCTCCCCAGGTGCATCACTTTGCACTTGTCAGTGTTGAATCCCATCCTATTCTCGTCTGCCCACCCCTGTAACCTGTCTAGGTCCGATTTGCAGTCTATTCCTTCCTTCTAGTGTGCCCACTTCCCCCCACATCTTAGTGTCATCAGCAAATTTGAATAGGGTGCTTTTTACCCTCTCGTCCAAGTCACTGATGAAGATGTTGAACAGTGCAGGCCCAAGGACCGAGCCCTGGGGGACCCCACTGCCCACATCCCTCCAGGTCAAAAATGACCCATCTACCACCACTCTGGGTGTGGCCCTCCAGCCAGTTGGTGACCCATTTGACTGTGTGGGTGTTGACACCACAGTCCCCCATTGTTCTTGAATATTAGAGCAGTTGGCTCACTTAGTGAGACTTCAGCTATGATTCTTATTTTGTATCTAAATGTGCTAAATTCCTGTGTTATGGTCTCTTACGGGAGCATGAATTTTGAACTTCTTTGCTTGCCCTCCATTGGACCCCTGAGTAACTGAGGCAGGCATCTCTCAGACCCCTGTTTTCAGGTCAAACATTCTCTAAATTCTTCTTCATAAAATACACTTTTTGTAGCATAAATTGACCATATTATCTTCTTAAATTTGCATGCTCCCTTTTGAGCAATTTGACAGGACTGTATATATTTATATAGGAGAGGCTTTGTACTTCAACTGCTTGTAAGAATGATCTCTTTCCATTAATTATGCAACCTAGCTTACTGTTTCTTTTTATTCCAGTCAGGCCTTTCCTAGCCTGCCTTCACAGTATTGCTCACCGTTACCACCCTTTCTGTGAACAATCCTTGATGGCTTATGAAAAGAAATAAAAATCCTAAATTGCATAAATTTAATGTAGTTGACTCAGGACAGTGAATACAATAGATTGCAGGAAGCGGCATCTCTATCTATGAGGAATTACCTGATTTCAAACTGATAATCATCTGTGTCCCAGATGGACGAGTATGCTATCAAGAAGAAGCCAAAAGCAGAATCTAAAACACAATCACTGGCCCTTCAGAATTTGGCCCATTCTTTTTTTTTTCCCTTTTACTTTAAAAGGATTATTATAATAAATAGTGGAGTACGTCACAATTCAATGGGAAATCAATGAAAAGTATGGACCAGGAATTTCTGGGAATCCCATTTGGTACCTGCCTGCATACTTGGGTATCTTAGAAACATTTAAAAATCTGGCCCCAAATGACTTTCCTGAGGTCACACAGTAAACTTTTGACATAGAAGGGAAACGAAACCCTGAATGCCAAGTCAAAAACTAGTGCCCAACAGACCTTCCTTTCACTTCATTTTTACAATAGAAGTGATTAGTATCAGTTCCAGCTGGCTATTAAGGCCAGTCTGGGGCTTTGCTTGTGAGCTGGACTGATTCCTTGTGAAGTCAGAATTTTTTTTTGGCAATTTGTGTACTGATTTTCCACACAGGTTTTCTACATTTCAAAAACTTTTTAATAGACAATTTGTGATTAGCAAAATATTAATAATAACTGACAACTTAGAGTGGGGTAGAGGAAAGTGAACACTTCAGCAAAATATTTTATAAATAGTTAGAATCCTGGAATTGGAAGAGACCTCAGACTCCCTTTTTGCCCAGCCTCCTGCACAGGTATCTGATGTAATATTTCTAAATGACCCTTGATAACATTTTGTCTAAGTAGATAGTCCCCCCCCCCCCCCCCCAAAAAAAAAAAAAAAAAAAAAAAGA